AAAGTATCAAAGGAGTTTTTCCACTTTACACTTGACTCTGGACTCTGCCTACTGCATACTTTCTGAACAGTCACCAGGACTGAGGTGAAATGTGTATTTTGTAAAGGCCTCTGGAGGGGAGAACTGCTCTGAACATCATTAAGTTTGCTTACATTATTTCAATTGTTTCAGGGAACAGGTAGTTTTTGGTTACATGGATAAGTTCTTTAGCGGTGATTTCTGAGATTTTGGTGCACCCATCACCTTAGCAGTATACACTATACCCAGTGTGTAGTGTTTTATCCCTCACCTGCTCCCATCCTTCCTCTCGAATCTCCAGAGTCTATTATATCATTCTTGCGTCTTTGCGTCCTCATAGCTTAGCCCCCACTTGTGAGTGCAAATATATGATATTTGGTTTTCCATTCATGAATTACATCACTCCAATTCCATCCAGGTTGCTGTGAATGCCATTATTTCATTCCTTTTCATGGCTGAGTATTATTCCACAGGAATAATAATGCGTGTGTGTGTGTGTGTGTGTGTATGTATGTGAACCCGCGCACGCATGTGTGTGCGTGTGTGTCAGTCACATTTTCTTTATCCACTAGTTGGTTGGCGGGCATTAAGGTTGGTTCCATATTATTCAATTGTAAATTGTGCTTCTATGAACATGCATGTGCAAGTGTCGTTTTCATATAATGACTTCTTTTTGGTAAATACCAAGTAGCGGGATTGCTGGATAAAATGGTAGTTTTACATTTAGTTCTTTAAGGACTCTCCATACTGTTTTCCATAGTGGTTGTACTAGTTTACATTCCCATGAGCAGTGTAAAAGTGTTCTCTTTTCATTACATCCACAGCAACATCTATTATTTTTTATTTTTAAATTATGGCCATTCTTGCAGGAGTAAGGTGGTATTGTGTTTTTGATTTGCATTTCCCTGATCATTAGTGATGTTGAGCATTTTTTCATATGTTTATTGGCCATTTGTATATCTTCTTTTGAGAAATGTATATTCATGTCCTTTGCCCAGTTTTTAATGGGATTATTTGGTTTTTCTTTGATGATTTGTTTGCATTCCCTGTAAATTCCATATATTAGTCCTTTGTCAGATGCACAGTTTGTGTAGATTTTCTCCCACTCTGTGGGTTGTCTGTTTATTCTGCTGATTATTTCTTTTGCTGTGCAGAAGCTTTTTAGTTTAATTAGGTCCCATTTTTTATTTTTGTTTTTGTTGCATTTGCTTTTGGGTTCTTGGTGACGAATTCTTTGCCTAATCCAATGTCAGGAAGAGTCTTTCTGATGTTGTCTTCTAGAATTTTTATGGTTTCAGGTCTTAGATTTAAGTCTTTGGTCCATCTTGAGTGGATTTTTGTATAAGGTGAGAGAGGAGGATACTTTTTCATTCTTCTATGAGTGGCTTGCCAATTATTCCAGCACAATTTGTTGAATAGGTTTTTCTTTCTTATTTTATTTATGTGATGTATCACATTTATTGACTTCTGTATAAACCATCCCTGCATCCCTGGGTGAAACCCAATTTTCCCACTTTGTTTTGCATGCTTTGTCGTAGATCAGTTGGCTGTATTTTGGGTTCTTTATTCTGTTCCATTGGTCTGCATGCCTGTTTTTATACCTGTACTTTGCTGTTTTGGTAACTATAGCCTTGTAGTATGTAGTTTGAAGTCAAGTAATGTGATGCCTCCAGATTTGTTTTTGTTTTTTTATTTTGAGATGGTGTCACGCTCTGTCACCCAGGCTGGAGTGCAATGGTGCGGTCTCGGCTCACTGCAACCCCTGTCTCCCAGGTTCAATTGATTCTCCTGCCTCAGCCTCCCGAGTAGCTGGGAACACAGGTGCTGGCCACCATGCCTAGCTAATTTTTGTGTTTTTAGTAGAGATGAGGTGTCACCATGTTGGCCAGGCTGGTCTCAAACTCCTGACCTCGTAATCCATCCACCTCAGCCTCCCAAAGTGCTGGGATTACAGGTGTGAGCCACTGCGCTCAGCAGATTTGTTCTTTTTGCTTAATCTTGCTTTGGCTATGCAGGCTCTTTTTTGGTTTAGTATGAATTTTAGGATTTTTTTTTTCTAGTTGTGTGAAGAATTATGGTGGTATTTTAATGGGAATTGCATTGAATTTAAAGATTACTTTTAGCAGTATGGTCATTTTCACAATATTGATTCTACCCAACTTGTTGAATAGGTTTTTGTTTCTAATTTTGTTTATGTGATATATCACATTTATTGACTCATCCCTACATCCTGGTATGAAACCCACTTGATCATGGTGTATTTATCTGATATGCTCTTAGATTCAGTTAGCTAGTATTTTGTTGAGGATTTTTGTATCTTTGTTCATCAAGGATATTGGTCTTTAGTGTTCTTTTTTTAATGTATTTTTCTGGGTTTGGTATTTGGGCAATACTGCCTTCATAGAATGATTTAGGGAGGATTCCCTCTTTCTCTATCTTTTGGTTTCAGTAGTAGTCGTACCGGTTCTTCTTTAAATGCCTGATAGAATTCAGCTGTGAATCTATCCACTCCTGGGCTTTTATATGTTGGCAGTTTTTAAAAATTAGTTTTTCTATCTCACTATTTGTTATTGGTCTGTTCAGAGTTTCTGTTCCTTCCTTGTTTAATCTCGGAGGTTTGCAAATTTCCAGGAATTTATCCATCTCCTCTAGATTTTTCAGTTTGTTCTCATAAAGATGTGCATAGTAGCCATGAATGATTGAGCTTATCTGGATCTTCTCCTTTTCTTGGTTAATCTCACAGATGGTCCATTAATTTTTTTTTTTTTTTTTTTGAGATGGAGTCTCGCTCTGTCCCCAGGCTGGAGTGCAGTGGTGCAACCTCGACTCATTGCAACCTCTGACTCCCTGGTTCAAGCGAGTCTCCTGCCTCAGCCTCCTGAGTAGCTGGGATTACAGGCACATGCCACCACACCCAGCTAATTTTTGTTTTTTTAGTAGAGATGGGATTTCACCATTTTGGGCAGGATGGTCTCAATCTCCTGACCTCATGATGATTTGTCCACCTTGGCCTCTCAAAGTGCTGGGATTATAGGCATGAGCCACTGTGCCCAGCCCAGTTTTTTTTTTTTTTTTTTTTATCTTGTCAAAGAACTAGCTTTTTGTTTCATTTCTTCAAGGTTTTTTGTTTGTTTGTTTTGCTTTTTTATGCTTTAAGTTCTGAGGTACATGTGCAGAACGTGCAGGTTTGTTACATAGGTATGCATGTGCCATGATGGTTTGCTACATCCGTCCCCACTCTGTCATCTATATTAGGTATTTCTCCTAATGCTATCCCTCCCCAATCCCCCCATCCCCTGCTGTCCCTCCCCTAGCCTTCCCACCCACTGACAGGCCCTGGCGTGTGATGTTCCCCTCCCTGTGTCCATGTGTTCTCATTGTTCAACACCCACTTATGAGTGAGAACATGTGGTGTTTGGTTTTCTATTCTTGTGTCAGTTTGCTGAGAATGATGGTTTCCAGCTTCATCCATGTCCCTGCAAAGGACATGAACTCATCGTTTTTTATGGCTGCATAGTATTCCATAGTGTATATGTGCCACATTTTCTTTATCCAGTGTATCATTGATGGGCATTTGGGCTGGTTCCAAGTCTTTGCTATTATAAACAGTGCCACAATAAACACGTGTGCATGTGTCTTTATAATAGAATGATTTATAATCCTTTGGGTATATGCCCAGGGATGGGATTGCTGGGTCAAATGGTATTTCTATTTCTAGATCCTTGAGGAATCGCCACACTGTCTTCCACAATGGTTGAATCTAATTTACACTCCCACCAACAGTGTAAAAGCGTTCCCATTTCTCCACATCCTTGCCATCATCTGTCTGCTAATTTTTTAGTGATCACCATCTTCAAGTTTTTAATGTTGATCGAACTCAATTAGACATTTATGTTATTTTTAAAAATTTAATGTTGGAATTTAAAATATAACCCAGTGTTTTCTATTGTATTTGTGCTTATATTTGTCCATGCTTCAGAATTGTATTATAAAGACAGTAATTAAGATTTCAAGCAGGTTTCAAGTGGAATCTGTAATTAGGAGGTGGACAGCAACAGAGAATAGAGAAAAAGCACTGGTTTTGTGAGCAAGTGGATTTGGGATTTCAATATTAACCCTCCTACCAATAAACTATATGACTTTAAGCCCTTCAACATTATTTCCTATAAAAGATATTATGTACTGATGTCCATAACTTTAGTCAGAAAATAACTTTGTCAATAACCAAAGTGCAGAATTTACCAAAATACTGACTTGGTTCTAATATTTGACAGATATGCTAACAGTGATAACAGGAATATTTAACAGCTTTTATTTACTACTGGCAGATCAAATGACCAAAATTTAAATTTAAAATCAATGTGAAAAAAAGAATTTAAATTCAAGCTAAATTTCTATTTTCATGCAAATGAAAACAGTAGTTGAAACACTTCTGCATAAGAAACCAGGATGAACTATGTGAAAGGAGGTTTTACTAATTGTTGGTACACATGTCTTTATCTCATCAATAACCAAGATTGGATATTTTTTTTAAAGCTGTTAAAACATGCCCAATAAATATCCCAACAGGAATATGTGAATTGTACTAGTTACCTAATTGAATTTAGCCAGACTAATTTTCGGTGAACTGCTTCCCCCAAAGGATGTCCCCGGGTATTGCCTGAGAAATCTGAGGAGCAATAATTAAAAACTGTTGAACCATGCAAACTTTCAAAGGTATCTCAGGACCTAAATTACGAGGTTTTGCTGTAACTGGGGCAATGTCATGAAAGCTTTACTGTAAAACAGCCTTCTGTAACTTTTTGCATTTTTTGCTACTGAATATTTATTTGCCAAGTGTCTATGTGTAAGCCTTAACGTACACTTTCTTTTATATTTTAACACAATAGACCTGATAATTTTTATTAAATATAATAGGTTAAGGAAATGAATAATTTACAAATTTAGGCTCAGAGGTGAAAATATATTTACATACCTCTTTTGACAGCAATTTGTGTTTTCTTAATATTTATAGGAAAACTACTTTGGGGAAGATGACATGTATATGGATTTTGAAGAGGTTATCTCAAGTCCTGTTTTGTCACTGTCAACATCATCCAGCTCTGGGTGGACTGCTGTTGGAATGGAAAATGACAAAAAGGAAAATGAAAGTTCAGCCAAGTCAATTCATCCACTTACCTTGCGTCCTTGGGATATTACCGTACTTGTTAATTTGTACAAAGTTCATGGGCGTCTTCCTGTTGTAAGTGTTTATACATCAGAGTGTTCTGGAATATATTATGACACCCACCTATGGGCAGATGTGAAGCATGCAGCACACACTTAGAAAAAAAATCAGATTCAGAAACTTCTAAATTTATTCTTTTACTGTTATAAAGCTCATGTGTTTTCTTTATAATATGATTACCTGATCATTGGTAATTTTACTTTCTGTTTTTCTTCTAATTTAACTTAGCTCCTTCTTTGCTGTTCTATGTAATGTCAGGTCATTGTATCATACCTCAAGTTGTTGGGTTTGTAATTAACCTGATGAGTATTTGACAACTTTACATTTTTTTAGCTTTTATCTCCAGACCCCAGATCAGTTTGGGGCCTTATGGTGGACCTGTTACAAAATCAAGTTTCTGGCTTGACCCTGAAGGTTGAATTGTGTGGTTTGGATCTAGCACAGTATCCTAGGTCACTCTAAGGACAGCCCTTAAACCTGTTCTGGTTGACCTGGAATGGTATTAAATTGCCCCAAGAACTCAGATACTTTGGAGCAGGGCCAGATGAGGTGTGTGTCTGTGTCACAGTGGGGTGGTGGGCAGGTGGCCCTCTGGTGCTTAGTGCAGCTAATGATTCTACTGGGGTAGAGAATAGTTATTTTTTTCAGGAATCATAGTTTTTCCGTTTAAAAAAACAAATTCTCTTAATCATGAGAAATGTAATTTTTATTTTTTTGTACTTCCTTACTTTTTGCTTTTTCTGCATTTCAACTGTGCTATTTTGTTTGACTGTAGCATGGAACTACTGATGGCCCTGAATGCCCCACAGCTTTCTTGGAAAGACTATGTTTTGAAATGAAAAAAGGATTTAGGGAGACTATGCTGCAGCTTATCCTGTCACCCCTGAATGTGTTTGTCAGTGATAACTATCAGGTAAGGTGAAATGAGATATGCTAGAAATATAGAGATTTACTATTAATATTTATTGAGTCAAAACAGCGTGTTAGTTTCTGTGCACAGACTTTGTAGCTCTTTAAGTCAGACTTAAGTTAACTATATTAAGAAGTTTTGTATGTTATGTCTATGTGTATGAGAGTTGTTTTAAGAATCTCAATTTTATTTTGCTGCTCCTATTTCTGTGATCCCAATTATATTTTATACCTTTTACTATTATAATAGAAACAGAAATAAATACTTTCTCAAATATTTATGGAAGGGAAAAATTATGTAAAATTTTGGTAGGTTCTGTTGAATATCACAGCATAAATGTTAATATTAACCAATACCATAATGTTTTAAAATGTGTGCATCTACATGGTCAGTGATTTGTTCTTATTCATTTAACATAAGATACTTTGTTAACTCCTTCACGATACTTATGGGCTCTTTTGAAGGAGAACCAATAATATTCATCAAAAGAGAATTTGAGAATTTATTACATTTCTGGGTAGATTATCACTTTATTTTTTTAATGGCAAATGGCTTTCCGTAGCACCTATCACCACTTTGTATGTCTGTCTTACTTTTAGTCAAATTGTGTGATTTAGAAATATAAATGGAACTTAATACAACAGAAAGTAAAATTATAAATGGGAAGATGAATCTGACACCCAGAAATCATCAATGAATGAACATTTATTATGATTATTTGTAGTAGCTGATCATCTTATTTAAAATAGCATACCCCCTTTTCATTCTTTTGCCATTACTGATGATATTTTTCTTCATGGAATTTTATTTTTTCACATATATATTTGACATATATGAGATCACATTAGCTAAAAGTTAATATGTGCTAGGCATTGTTTTTGTTTTGCGACAGAATGTGTGTTTCCTGTTTTAAACTTTTATTTTGAAATAGTTATAGATTCACAGGAAGTTTCAAAGATACTATAGAGTGATCTGTATGTACTCTTTACCCAGTTTTTTTCATGGCAAAATTATTTTTCATAATTATAGAATCAAAATAAGGAAATTGACATTGATACAATGTATGTGCATAGCTGTAGGTCGTCTTATCACATGTAGATTCATGTAACCACCATCAAAATGAAGATACAGAACTATTCTGTCATCACAAAGATCTCGTATAACACTTTACCTTGCCATATTAACCTTAAAAAAAAAACTCTTGTCCTCCTCTGTATAATTAGTGGGTCATGAGAAGCAGTTACTTTTTATTCTGGGAGGCAGGTGTGTGGAGAGGAAGCCCATCTCCCTTTTTCAGTCTATTAAGGAAATTAATAAAGGGAAAAGAGGAAGTCTTCTATGGGTGAGTTCTGAGAATCTTAGATGAATATCCCTGGTTTCTTATGAGTACCTGGTAACACTTCAACTTTTAATCACTGTACTTTTAAAAGGCTTTTCCAAACATAGAAAACATCTTATTGGGCTTATTATGAATGTTCACATTAATTCTTATTATAGAGGTGTGGCAAGCTTGTAGAGAGACTGAATTATAAAGTATGATTTATTTGGGGATTAGAGAAGGAGTTCATGGAGTAGAGATATCAAGGTGGAAGTAGAAGTACTAGTGATAATTCGTTTCCTAGATAGCTGACAACTTACCCAAAAGACAAAGATACCATATATATCCTCTTGGAATTTGCTTGTCTACTTACCTTGTTTACATTCTGTAGTGTTGACACAACTATTCCTAAGAATTTTTCTCCTCATCTTCCATTATACTATCTAGTGTTCATACAGTAAGAGGCTTCACACTGTGTCTACTCCCAAGGCCCAAATCTGGGTTACCCACTTATAGTTTATCCTGGATAGCATCAGTCTTAACTCAAGGTTTCAAGATGAGGGATCTCAGGTGACTGATGGACTGCTGCATCCCATTATGAAACTATGCACTTTTTATTTTGTGGTCATCTTATGTATTAGTTTCATAGGGCTGCCATAACAAAGTATCCTACACTAGGTGACATAAAACAGCAGAAATTTATTTTCTCACAGTTCTGGAGGTTCAAAGTACTAAATGAAGGTGTTGTCAGGGTCACATTCTCTGAGCTGTAGGGGAAGATCCTTCCTTGCCTCTTAGCTTCTGTGGTTGCCAGCAATCCTTGGTGTTCCTTGGCTTATAGAAGAATCACTGAGATTGTTACCTCCATCTCTACTGGCTGCCACTCTCTCTCTGTGCCTGTGTGTCCCACTTTTTCTCCCTTTATAGGGACACCAGTCATTGTATTAGGGCTCACTCTCAGTGTAACCTTATCATAACCTACTTACATCAGCAGAAATCCTGTTTTCAAAAAAGATCATATTCACAAGTTCCAGGGCTTCGGACTTGAACATACATTTTTGAGGGATGCCATTCAACTCACACATGATGCAAACTGCAATAAAATTTAGAATATAATGTTTATTGGTATATCATGTAGGCTATACCTTAGGAAAGGCCAAGATCCACATGAAATTTTGTGCTTAAAAAATTTCATAGAAGTTTTATACTAAAAATTATTGAGTCTCAGTGTCAGAAGAGAAATTTCTTGACCACCCTCCCCAGTTCCCTCAGTAAAAAAGGTAAGGAAATTAATGCCTGGTGAAGTCAGGTGATTTAATATAAAGTCACACAGCTTGGATGAAAATAAAATGAAAAATTGTATCAGAAGAGCTTCTAGAGTGATAATTGTAGTCACAATTTGAAATTAAAAAAAAATTCTTAGGAATTATAGGTAACCCTTATTCTTAAAAAAAAAATTTTTTTTTAAGAATGTGTTTCCCAACATGTATTGACAGCAGGGAACACTAACCCTGTGAGATAGCTTAGACATACACTAAGAAGACTACCGTAATAAAATTAGGATGGGAAATATCTGTGAACTGCCTCTATGTATACTAGTATATTGAAGGCTCTGAACACTTGCTGTGAAGAAATCTGTCTAGTCAAGTCAGCAGCATCTACTTTTTGTGGTCACTGCACTGTTAGGTGCAGTGATACTTGGTACATGAGACAGAAATTATCCGTAACCTGGAGAAGAAGATATTGAGAAAATTAAAATTAAGATAAATAATTTCAAATGTAAAAAGTGCTGCAAGTTGAGGTAGACAGTGGTCTGGTAGCATTTAATGGTCTGGAGGCAAGGACAAGATCCAATTTGTATGTTTAAAAGATCTCTGTGATTACTGATAGAGTATGGAGCAGAGAGATGTAAAAAGTTAACGCCCTGAAAAGGTCCTGCCAAGAGGTGATACCATTTGGACCAGGATGAAAAAAAAGTCAGTGCATTCGTGAGAGATTGGAGGTAAATTGAACAGAAATTGGTGACTAATCAGTAGGGCATTTCCAAACTTATTTGATTCTTTATTCTTAATTATGTGTGGGACTAGTCTTCCATGAAATAATATGTTTTATGACATATCCTTTATTTCTCTGAATATATGTTAGAAATTTTCCCTTTGAAATACATGCTGCCTTTTAGTAGTGAGTATAAAATTATTCTCTGTAAGAGAAAACTATCCTTGTTTTTACATAGTCCTCAGAATCTATATGAAAGTTGAGTTTTCCCCACAGTTCTTCATTTTTTGGTCTTAATGGTCTTTATTCTTCAGTGTTACCTTCCTTTTAAAAAAATATTTTAATCTCATGATTCTTAGATTTCCTACAAAAGATTGGTGTCTTGTATTCCCTGTCAGAGTACTACTCTAGTTTCTTGTTATTCATAAAGACAGAGATCTATTTTTTAGGACTTAGCAATCTTGCTCTTTATAATAGATAGGCTCTCATAGGTATTGTTCATTAAAGATGCTTAACTCAGACTACCTCTATGGCTACAAGTATTAGGAGCTTGTGGATTCTGAAGCCTTATACGTGGCATGATTTTATTGCTCATCTCTTCAGCGGGCATGGGGGGAAACAACTAGAAATTATAATGTGATTTTCTTATACATTTTACAGTCTCATCATTATTGTTTTCAGCAGCGACCCCCTGTGGATGAAGTACTCAGGGAAGGTCACATCAATTTGTCAGGTCTCCAGCTGAGAGCACATGCTATGTTCTCGGCAGAAGGTCTTCCTTTGGGAAGTGATTCCTTAGAATATGCATGGTTAATTGATGTGCAAACTGGAAGTCTTACAGCTAAGGTCACAGCACCACAGGTATGATTTTCAGAGTACTATCTCCTGACTTATTTTCTTTTTCATTTCTTTACCCACCTTCTCAAGAATAACTTGTATGCCTGTTTGAATGTTCATTGCATTTCCACTGATGGCATTCTGATGGGAGTCATTCTTGCCATTCAAAATTTTAGTTATAGGTGAGTCAGAGACAAGTTTCACTTTTCTGAGCCACATATAATTTATTGAGTGTAATATATTTAGTTCTGTGTAATAATTTAAAGAATTTGAGACTTTCTTTGGGAAAAGCTCAGGATGAGTACTGTTCTAGAAATCAAGTTAATTATTATTAAAATTATATTACTTGGTCCTCCATTGTTGGAAAAAATCTTATTTTTCTACTATATGGAATAATTTTCTAAGAACGTTGTTTTGTTACATATTTCTTTAGTAGGATTTGAAAGTGGCCCTTATGATGCTAAGGATTAGGTAATAAGGTTCTTTACTTGTCATGTCCCAAAGCAAGATTACATCATTTGTACATGCTGTTAGTGATGTGGAGAGTAGTTTCAAAAAATAAAAGTGAATTTACTGATAAGTAAATCTGGTCTAGAATTCTAGATGTGATCCTTTTGGATAAATTCTCCCCCATCACCCCTTCCACTTAATCCTTAGAAGGTGCAAAAGCCTTACTATATTATTTGTTTCTAATTGACCACTGAAGTTTAGCTGAATTGCCATATTATTGTAACATTTCACCTGAGTCATATATTTATTATAATATGAATGCTTATCTTGGCATTTCAAAAGACTGAAATTTGATAGGAATGTTACATACTCAATTTTGATAAAAAGTTATAGAATGGGTATGAAATATATAATTTAGAGGTAGGTAGTAGCAACAAGAATGTAATAAAGAACCTAGATGCCCTGTATACCTGGAAGAAATTGTCAGAGGGTAGCAAAAATTAATACTCTAAAAATGTTGGGAAAAATGAATGGAATTAAAAAGGGATATTTTAGAGTTGAACATCAATTCAATATAATATTGGAATGTATAATGATATTTATAAAAATACGTGAAAAGAAATGCATAATAGAATGTGTAGAAATGGATGAAAAGCTGTAGTCATTGCTCACTGGCCTTGTAACTGTCCACTCCTTATTGTCTCCCATTTCTCGTCCCTAAGTATACAAGTAAAAACTGAAGTGTATTCTAAAGCAGCTTGATCCCTAAGAAGGGAATAAAGCCATGCTGACCCTGCAAGACTGGGTACAATTCCTTTGTTCTAAGGACTGCTGGAATCTTACATGTTTATAAATTGCCTTTATAGGAGGAAACATTTCTCCTGCATAAAATCTTAGCATCATTATTTGCTGTACAGTTCATGAATCTGCAGATGCTTTTATGTTTATTCCATTCTCTGTATGTTTTAAATTTATGCTTTCCAAGAGTTTAAATTATGTACCTATTTGGGGGGATAATGTCATGGATATCTATCCCTCAACGTTTTTAACAGCTCTAATCAATTATAAAATTGTTTTAAAAAAAAACAAAACAAAAACTCAAGATTTGAAGAATTATAATATGTGCTTACTTAAGCCTCTATTTACATAAACAAAAGTGCTTTAATCATCAAAATACCTGATTTTAAAAAATTGTAGCTCAGTGTGTTATTTAGATAACCAAAGATTTCACATGAAAGTTTGGTTTATGATTAGAGAATTTTAGGTGCTTTTCTATGTGGAGGATTTCAGTTAGCTATATAAGCGAAAAGATATATAACCTTGAATAAAAGGATTTGCTTTTAAAGTTGCTGAAGTGAAATTTTTTAGCTGAAATGAGTTTTCATTTTGACAATACATTTTGTCATTCATAAAGGAAAAGTAACGTAAGCATATAAATTATATAAAGGTAGAAAAAATCATTGGCTAACAAGTTGCTTATTTAGCAGAAGTTTTAAGATAGTATTTGGCTTCTTTCAAGCTATGTTAATATTGTTCAGAAGCTTTTGAACTCTGAACACTTGTTTAGAATGCTAACAGTGTTGTCAATTTGTCACTTACCATCTGTAGCTGGCATGCCTCTTGGAGTGGGGACAGACATTTGTTTTTCATGTGGTATGTCGGGAGTATGAACTGGAAAGACCAAAATCAGTAATAATATGTCAGCATGGAATTGATCGTCGGTTCTGTGAATCTAAGGTATGTTAACAAATATGTTAGCAATATCATAAACATTTATGAATTTTTTAAAATGGAATATTGAGATATCAGCTTTAAGTCAAAGACACATAGCCATGAAGTAAACTAGTTTTTTCAGTTAACAAAATTATTTTTCAAATTCTTAGCCATTTTAGTTTTAAGTATCTGAAATATGAGATAATTATTCAAACATACAAATTAAAAAATAAATGGAGATATAAAAATTATATTTTGCTTATGTTTTTACTGCTAACATTTGTGTCATATTGTATTATTTTACTAACTTGTTGGGATGTGGCTATATATTTATGTAGAAGATTTAGAAATTGAAGCAAGGACATGCTTTGCAGACCACTCTGGACATGCCAGTTCTCCCATAACGTAATTGACAAGGGTGGTCATTTGTCAGGTTTCCTGATTCCAAATCTTATGCTCTTTTCACAACATTGTGCCACCTTCATTAAGGGTTATTACAATATCTTCAAAAGGGTTGCAAAAAGTAGATGGTAATCCCTAAAACCATGCGCAGTGGCAATGAAATGCAGAGTATTAATGTGCAGTTAATACTCTCCCTTATGAATTTGGTGAGGCCTTTAGGTACCTCTTCCTCCTTTATCTTTTTTCTCTTTTTAATAACTTAAAGTTTTTGTATTGCATTAAAGTTTTTAAAAATCAGTTTTGTTGAGGCATAATTTATTTACAGTAAATTCATCGTTTTAAAGTTGTGCAGTTTGTGAGTTTTGACAAATGCAGTGTGTATGTGTGTAACTGTTACCACCAGTGAAGATACAGAACATTTCTTTCACCTTAGAAAATTCCTTTGTGTGTCTTTGCAGTCAGCCCCCACCTCAGGCAACTACTGATCTCCATTCTGTCACTTTAGTTTGTTTAGGTCTCTTTTTGTCCAGAGGAAATATATCCTTATAGAATATTGACTACAATATAAGATACCTGTTCCTGGTTCTGGCCCTGCCACTAATGAGCATTTACATGATATTGGGCCAATAATTTGCTCATGGCTGCCATCTTAAGAAATTTATTGATGTAGGTGATATATACATTTTCTTCCAACATAAACATTATAAAAATCTATGTTTGGGGAGTAAAAAAAGAATTAAATGTATGTGGATTGTGTTAGATATCATTATAATATTTACAATAAATATATTTGTGTGTGTGAAAATACATCTGAGTGTATGGAGTACCTATAAGAAAATCTTACAACTCTAAACTCATATAATTCTTGTAAACCTGTGACACTGTTTACTTATTACTTATCTTTTTTGAGTTTCAGTAACAAATTGTATATGTATTATCTATTAGACTTGCCACTTGCCCCTTCCGAATAAAAATGGTACATTGCTTACTTATTGTTTTCTAATATATAGTTTTCTAATTGATAATAGTTTAACTGCTGATTTTATTATTATAAAATAATGAAATTAGACCAATTTTTTAAAAATTAAATATATCAATAACTGGATTTTTTGTGTTTATTTTGAGAAGATGACTTAAGTGTCAAAATAATAAGTTGATGGTGGTGATTTAGATGTACAATCCTTTTTTATTTTAGTTGAGTTGTATTCCTGGGCCTTGTCCAACTTCAGATGATTTGAAATATACTATGACTCGTATAGCAGTAGATGGAGCCGATATTTACATTGTCGAGCATGGTTGTGCTACAAATATAAAGGTAAGTGTTTTGCTTGACCAGTGTAGTGCTTTTTCCTTTTTACTAAACCAAACCTCTGTTTCTTGAAATAAAATACACATTTACAGTTTGTCATTTCACAGACTGCCACAAAATTTTAGGAGATAGCTTTCTAATTGTTACTCATCCATGTTTTTTTCCAGTATTATTATTATTATTATTTTTTGAGACGGAGTTTCGCTTATTACCCAGGCTGGAGTGCAGTGGCGCGATCTCGGCTCACCACAACCTCCGCCTCCTGGGTTCAGGCAATTCTCCTGCCTCAGCCTCCCGAGCAGCTGGGATTACAGGCACGCGCCACCATGCCCAGCTAATTTTTGTATTTTTAGTAGAGACGGAGTTTCACCATGTTGACCAGGATGGTCTCGATCTCTTGACCTCGTGATCCACCCACCTCCACCTCCCAAAGTGCTGGGATTACAGGTGTGAGCCACCGCGCCCGGCCCCGGTATTATTTTTTTAAGGCATACTTTGACCACTTATTTACTCTAACTGAATTTTTTTAACAGTGCTTTATGGTGGAGATATAAAATAGTAGGTTGTTTTTATGGCAGGGATGTAAACTGGTAGTGCTTTTAAATGATTTGGTTTTTGAATGTCTTTAGGATTCATACATTTATATTTTCTGCCTGGTTCCTGAAAACATTCATTTCCCACTCCGTTTTATGGATGGTAGTGTAAAATCAAGCCTTGTTAAATTTCTGTGACTTTTCATTATTTGCTTCTCTTATGTGCCTGTGGACTTCTGCTTTTTTCCTTTTACCCTCTTTTTAAAAAATTATCTATTTTCGTTTTTATTGTGTTTAACTTTTCTATTTCCTTTATGTCCCTTTCCCATTTTTTCCTTATTTCTTTTTCCTTTATTTTCTTCTTCCAGTTATGTTTTACTCTATTTGAAATGATCACCTATTCTGTAGTGTAGGCTACTACTTAAAAATAGAGAAATTACAGTTTTGTTTCATTTTCTTCATTCAATTTTAGATGGGTGCAATTCGAGTTGCAAACTGTAATCTCCACAATCAGTCGGTTGGGGAAGGAATCAGTGCTGCAATTCAGGATTTTCAAGTGAGACAGTACATTGAGCAAGTAAATAATTGCAGAATTGGACTTCAGCCTTCAGTGCTACGGAGGGCCTATTGGCTTGAAGCTGGGTCAGCCAATTTAGGACTTATTACTGTTGATATTGCTTTAGCTGCTGACCATCATTCTAAACATGAGGCACAGAGACATTTCTTAGAAACTCATGATGCCAGAACTAAGAGGTAAGTGAAAATTTTAAGAATGGTGGCAGTCTCCTGTTGAGATGGAAGCAACTAGATAATTACAGAGGAGATTCTACTGAGAGAATGGACTAAGAATATTTTAAATAAAGACCTAATCTGATTGTGCTGCACCTCAATTAATATATAAGGACCTGATATTTAAGTAAATATATATCTTGTCTCTGGTGGTGGCGCAGTTGTTGGAAATAACATTATTTTCTGACCTGTTTCTAAGTGTACACCATGCATGGCAACAGTGAAACAAGTTTAAGTTACTGGTTCCTTAATAACAGTTTGTAAAGCACGGCATTTTCTTTTTCACCCCAGCTCTCAACTTTCCAGTCATCATTGTTTCCTAGAAATCACAGTACTACTACCATCTACTGTATAAAACTCCTTTTATGGGCCTTCAGAACTACAGAGAAGACTAAACATACTCAGGCCTATTTCCTTGATCCTTAGGAAATGATTATATTTATGTTTTAAAAAGTTACCAGTGCCTCTTACCGAATCACTTCCATTTAAAATGACAGTATGACTCTTTCTATCCCCATCTTGCCCTGTTGTATATTTAATATGTGCTAATTCTAAAAATATAGGAAACTGTTAAGAAACAAAGGAAAATAATGATCATAATCTCACCACTTGAAGTTTTATCATATTTCTCTCTAGGATTTTTGCTGTATATTTTAAATGCTTGAAATCATCCTGCATTTACATTTTAAAATTCTGCATGTTTGTATTAAACTTATATCCACAGCATCTGGCCACATGATTAAACATTTATAAAGATACTTTTAAACAAATGATAATACATTACCAAAGAGACACAACATTATATTAAATATTTAGATTGTTTCTAAATTTCCCATTATGAATGATAGTAAGAGGAACATTTTGGCACATAAAATATATTTCCATGCTTTCTGGCTGTTTCCTTTACCTAATTTTCTCGAAGGGAGTATGAATGAGTTAAAAATTAATACTTTTCATATGCATTCCCAAATTACTTGCCAGAAATTATTTCAGTTTCTATCCCCAGTAGCTTTTTAGATAGTCCCTGTCTCCCTGCACCTTTGCTACCTTTTGAGTGTTTTCTAGTAAGTGAAAGGTGGCATCTCTTTATTTTGCATTTATATATTTCTGAAGTTAATACTTTAAAAACCACATTTGTTAGCTGTTTCAATTTCTTCACTAGTGAACATAATGTTTATATTCTGTGTACATTTACTTACTGGGGTCTTGGTGGTTTTCAATTTTTAAGAGGTTTTTAAAGACAGTCACCCTTTTTGTAATCTCTGTTGCTACTATTTTACAGTTTGTTTTACCTTTTAATTTTGTTTTTATTTTCATTTATGACTTTAGTTTTATACATTCAAATACATCAGTTACTAATTTGAGAAAACCATTCTTTTGCTAGTAATCAAATAGTATCTGTATTTTTTTTTTCTTTTTCTTTTTCTTGTTAACATATAAAACCCAAATCTATCTGGATTTTATACGGGGTGCATGTGTGTATTAGTCTAGGTAAGGAGGCAAGTTGCTTTGTCTGCAAATACCTATTCGAATACAGAGGGAAAAATTTATACCTAACATATTAATTTCTCTATTTTACAAAATGATTAGTTATTATCATCTGTTAACTTTCCTAAGAGAACTTGAGGTCAATTTTTCTAGTTAAAAAAAAGAAACTGTGGAGATTTTTATTGATAATACATTAATCTTTTAATTGAAGAAGATTTGACATATAGCTGAGTATGAAAGCTCATATGTGAAGAATATCGTGTAAAAGAAATTGGATTTCTTTGTTATTTTATTGCTCAGGAAGCCACTTAGTGTGAACCAAATGCCTGTCTTTGATTAGATTAGGTGGTAGAGCAAGGTGCTAATGGAGCTAAGGAGGTTGCTTCAGGTGACTCAAGTTGCTCCAAGTAACTCATTTAGGTTGGTTTCAGTGCTGTAGCTTATCAAAAATTGTGAAGTCTGGGGTTTTTATCTTTCTTACAAGTTAACAAGTTAGCCTGTTACAATTTCGTGGATGCTGGCAAAATACACAAAACTTCTCTGATCAGAGATTGTATTACTCACAGCAAGAGTGGTAGCCAGTCATGTGTTGGTGGGTTGGTTCTCCGTGCCCCCCAAGTAGAGTTGCCAGATAAAATACAGGATGCCCAGTTAAATTTAACTTTCAGATAAACAACAAAACACATTTTAGTATAAGTATGTCTCCCATATTGCATAGAACAAACTTATTTTTGTTTGTATTTTATTTGCTAAATCTAGCAAACTTTTCCCTCAGTCCTGTAGGGGGTAATGTAGTTCCAGCTACTTGGGAGGCTGAGGCAGGAGAATTGCTGGAACCTGGGAGGCAGGGGTTGCAGTGAGCCAAGATTGCACCACTGCACTCCAGCCTGGGAAACAAGAGTGAGACTCAGTCTCAAAAAAAAAAAAAAAAGTCTATCAATGATGAATACGTGCATAAAGTAGGTTACATTAAAAAAGAGGAATGCTGAATTTTTAGTGAATCTTCCTATTTTTATAGTAAGTGGAAGCAAGTCTACTCTTTTCCAGAGAGAAACATTACCTCAATCCTCACAGTTGCTTGCTCCAAACACAGCCCTGAGAAATGGCCTGGACAGAGCTTGCATTCATGGCATACCCATCAGGAACATGTAGGGATTCTTAGGGCTCATGATGAATTGCCTCTCCCATATGGTAACATTGACCTTCAGCTTTGGCTGCCTTTTTGCATATTGGATTCTCAGGAGTTTTAGAGAAAAGTGTATTCATTCCTGTTATTACTGGAAAACCTACTGGATATATAGGCCATTATTTCATTAGATTAATGTTTCTTAAAAATACGGTTTGCAAACCGCCGGCATCAACATCTCCTTGGAACTTTATAGAAATATACATAATCAGGCCTTCCTAGACCTCAATCAGAAACCTAGGGGTGGAGCCAAGCCACCTGTAGTTTAGCAAGCCATTCAGTTGATTCTAATACAAGCTAACATTTGAGAACTAGTGCATTGGATTATACAAAGATAGGAAAGGGGAGCTAACGTTTATTAATTTCTTTTTTTGTTTGTTTTTTTTTTTGAGATGGAGTTTCGCTCTTGTTACCCAGGCTGGAGTGCAATGGTGCGATCTCAGCTCACCGCAACCTCCACCTCCTGGGTTCAAGCAATTTTCCTTCCTCAGCCTCCTGAGTAGCTGGGACTACAGGCACGTGCCACCATGCCCAGCTAATTTTTGTATTTTAATAGAGACGGGGTTTCACCTTGTTGACCAGGATGGTCTCGATCTCTTGACCTCGTGATCCACCCGCCTCAGCCTCCCAAAGTGCTGGGATTTAGGTGTGAGCCACCACGCCCAGCCGAGCAACTTCTATAGTCTAGGTTTTGTATCAGGTGCTTTATACGTGTTAATGCCATTTTATCCTCACAATGATCTTATTAGATATATCATACCATCATTTTGCAGATGAGGAAACTGAGGCTTAGCGATGTTAACTTGTGTGAAGTTCTAGAGTTAGTAAGTGGCACAGCTAGAATTTGAACTTAGGTCTAGCAGACTCAAAGCCATGCATTCTACCAAGCTTTTGCTTTGCAAATGAAGTAAAAAAATGTCTATTATATATATAAGTTGTTTTATTTTAGTGGTGTTTTAAGATATCTTTGCTGCTTGACTTAATACTTTAAAATACAGAAGTGATTTGAAATGGATAACACCTGATTGAAGTAATCTCAAGCGCTTCCTCATCTTAAGGCCTACTCATACACTTTTCTGTCTTCTCTAGATTGGTGTTCCACTTCTAAGTTGTTCCACCTCATCTTTAATTTCTCAAATGCTACTTTTTAAAAGATTCTTCCTATTTTCTTTGTCACAACACTCTGTTTACCTCATAACATTTAATACAATTTATGATTATTATTTTTTTGTTTATTGTTTGTCTTTGCCTCTGTATTGTAAAATTCATATAAAGACCGTATCAGTTTTGCTTAGCCTGGCACTAGGCACTTAATTGATATGTTCAAGAAATACAAATTAATGGATGTGTAGTGAAGGTGATAATACCTATTCTGTCTCCCTGTGAGGGTCTTGAGAATCCAAGGAGATAATACATGTAAAAATGCTTGAAAAAATGGACTGTAAATATGTGGGAATTTTATTAAAGTAAAAAAGGAATAAAGATATGTCTCACAGATTTCTATTATATAATATTTTTTAAGAGAGGAGGGTAGTTAATAAAGACTGACAGATCTATGAGTCACTTATACAGAACCTGAAGTTTACATACATTTTTAATGCTTTATCTGTAGTCCTTATTACAAGGGAGTAGACCTGGATATTGTTTTTCTCCAAAATGTGGAGTAGTTCATTATTTTAATTTTATTGAGAAAAAATTTCTTACTTGCTCCATATTTGTAATTTTTTAGTGTTTTAAATGTGAAATAGGCCCTGAAATGCTAAAGGTAATGAGCTATCAAGCATAATCTATACTAATAGTTTTGTCTGTTTTGGATTAATGTCTTAAAATTTTAGTCTTTTTGAGAATGTTTGCTACATTGTAAAACCGGATTTAAATGTCTGATTTTTATATTTGCTTTTTTAAAAAATGCTTTGGGCTTTTTAATGTATGCCATATCTCTATTACTATTGATTCTGCTTATTTCCATCTCACTTGCTCTGGTAAGACTGTGTTTTTTTAGAAAGGCAAATGATTTGAAAAAAGCAACCACAGTAGAAATAAACCTTTGTGTTTGTGTTTACTTTGCCTTTTAAAAATATTAACAACTAACTTTATGTACCAAAAAGTTTCTATTTCTTATTGAGTTTGTTTTTTTTATGTAGTTGTTTTTTGTTTTCTTTTGGGTTCTGTTTAGGTTGTGGTTTTTGTGGCCAGATGATATCCTGAAGAATAAGAGGTGTAGAAACAAATGTGGTTGTCTCGGTGGCTGCAGATTCTTCGGTGGCACAATAACCGGCCTAGATTTCTTCAAACTTGAAGAGTTGACACCTTCCAGTAGCTCTGCATTTTCAAGCACAAGTACAGAGTCTCTGCTACAGCCTGGAGAATGGATAATTACTAAAGAAATTCCCAAAATTATAGATGGTAATAAAATGTTTCGTCACTTCTGCTAATTGTTGATTTTCTTTATCCTTATGCCGCTCTGGGAGAAATTCAGTGTTATTCTGTTCAACTCAATTTATTTTGTGTAGTCTTATGAATAGGATTTAGTATAATCTGCCTTTGTTTTGCACATGACTTAACTACAGCCAGATAAAACTAGTGATTTTCTCAGAGTTATACAGGGCAAAACTAGGTCTGCTATTCAAATCTTCTGTTGTTGATGTGGGTGGCTTTCCTCACAAAGTTTATTCTAAATATTTCCTTCCATATTGTTATTTTCCTGTAACAGAGCATTCAGATAAACACTTAGGAATAGCTGTGCTTCAAGGTAACAAGTTGTTTGACCAGCTTGCTTCTATAGGAAAACTTTCCAATAGTAATATTTATTCTTTTGGCCCCTATGTTACCAATTATTTTTGCAAAATAGTTTTCTTATCAGTAAAATTAAACATGTCAAGAAAAGAACTCCAGTCTTTCCTTAGAATCTTTAGCATAACTCTGCAAATACAGCAGTTTGGTACGAGCAGTGAAGAGTGGATTTAAGTGTATTGTATTTAGATTTACCTAAGGTCTTTTCTCCAGAGACTTCAGAAACAGATTTTCCTCTGGATTTTTTTTAGTTATGTGTTCCTACAATTCAGTGCAATATTTACTTCTTAAGTTGCCATGCTGTGAAGATGTTAAATGTAGAAAAGTCTTGATACTTCACCAATATTTAGCCATTTCCCCTTAATAAATTTAAAAACATTAATTTATAGCTGCCTTTTATCAGTAGACACAAAAGATAGGAAAGGGGTAATTTTACCTTTAAGAGCTTATCAGGTTACTTTCCCATTTATAGGAACTCTTAGAGCAAACAGCCGGACTACATATGCTAAATTCCTCTTTAAATGATTTTTTACTGAGTAGTAATAAGTGTGCACATTTTATTTTAAGATCATTTTACTTCTGCAGGATTGCTAGAATGAGAGCAGATTATCTTATAAAATCAGCAAACCAAAATTTCTTGGCATTTAAGTGATAAGATAGATTTTAATAATTTAGCTGTCTTCTTATGTAACTTTTTTACATTTGAATAATGTTCATTTTTAAAGGTTTACACTGGCATTTTCTCATTTAATCCCCAAGCTATCATGTAAGGTGGATATTATCCTTGTTTTGTAGTAAAGAAACAGCCTTGTCACTGAGACTGAGTTGCTTGAAGTAATAACAGCCAAGTATGGCTGAGAAGAAACTAGAATCAGGGCCGCTGAAGCCACTTTCCTTTTCTCTCTACTGTGCTATAACTGGCAGTAATTATAAAGATTGCTTGATTTTCAAAGATTAACTATCACAAACTCAAGAAAGAATATTTGCAGGAAATTTTTACATGGTGTGAAAGGAGGAAAATAGTAAATTCTGTTTCTAACGTTGAAGAAAGTAAAATTCTTATAATGTATAATAGGAAGTGTCTGTATCACTTGGTGATTTTCTTAGTAGCGAGTTGTAATTGCTGAATTGCCATCAGTTTCTTGTCCTTATGGACAAGAAGAATGAGAGTAATTATGAAAACAATTTCAGAATGAGAGTAATCATGAAAACAATTTATGGAAGGTTGGGAATAACCATTACATATGTACCTGAGTTTCTGATTGTTGAGTCATCCAGGAATGGAGTATAGACGCAGTGTCAGGATAAAATCAAGGAGGGCATATGTACAGAATTAAGGATCTACTTGGAAGGTCAGTGAACACTACATTCCTGTATCTCTTAGAAGTGAATCAAGACCATTTTTCTTTTGACTTTCATTGCTCTATTTTACATTTGTGGTACTAAAAGTAAATAGCATTCTAAGTTTACAACTCTTACTCCTTGAATGCCGCTAGAACTGCATTCTGTTCAGGGAGATGTTTTCTCCATTAGCAGGTTTCTTTTTCTTGGGTAAAACAGGGATAGCAGGAGGTGAGGGGAAGTTGAGCAAGAGTTACGTTTTATGAATCTAGGCAGCTATAGTATTCTCTTTTTATTTCCCCCAGCCCCTCAATTTATGTAACACATCACAGAGCTCTTTATGAAACTCTGAAATAGTGGTGCTTCACTCTGGTCCTAAAGTTATTATTTATTCATTCACAGAACCATTTATTGAGTGCTTTCTGTGTATGAGGCATTGTTCTAGGCACTAGAGGTACATCAGTGAATGAAAAATGATACAGTCCCTGTCAGTATTGAACTTTTAGAGCAAAAGGGGAAAAATATAAAAGAAGTAAATCTAAGTAGAATATACATGGTGTTCTTTGTACTATTCTTGAAAGTTTTCTGTAAATTTGTAAATTTTCCAATAAAAGATTTAAAAAGAAAAAATTCACTGTTTATGGACCTGGGATCTATACTTAATGTAGATATATTTGTAAAATATTTAACACATTGCTATGTGAAATTAGATACTTGGCTTTTTAAAAATGATTATACTTAAAAATGGAATTAAATTGCCATGTTTTTCATAAATTGCTTTTGAAATCTGTATGTTCACTTAACTCACCTTTTTTTTTGTTTAGGTAATATGAATGGCATGAAGAGGAAAGAATGGGAAAACAAATCAGTGGGAATAGAAGTAGAGAGAAAAACTCAGCACCTTAGTCTTCAAGTACCATTACGATCTCATAGTTCATCCTCTTCCTCAGAAGAGAACAGTAGTTCTAGTGCTGCACAGCCTTTGTTGGCTGGTGAAAAGGAAAGTCCATCTGTTGCTGATGACCATTTGGTTCAGAAAGAGTTCTTGCATGGGACAAAAAGAGATGATGGCCAAACAAGGTCAGTATTCACTTAGATTTAGAATCCTGATCATAAATAGGATTCTATGTTTAAAATTGTGGCAAGAAAACTTATTCCCTGTCCATTCCCCTACTTTAAAAAATTGTTTCCTGTATAGCTGAACATATTTTGAAATGTTACTTTGCTCTTGTCTTTCTGATTATAAAAGCCATACACATATATTCTTTCCAGATATGAGGAAAGTACAAGAAAGTGTAATGAAAAGTGGAAGTTTCTTGTCATTCCACCACTCACAGTGAATCATTGTTAACATTCACATATTACCCTTCTAGTCTAATGGATACTTTTTTTGTTCCTCCTTTTGGCACCTTAATAGTTGGCCACTCCCTTCTTGAATCAAACTTTTCCTCTTGGTTTCATAGCATTTTTCAAAAGTTCCTCCCACCTCCTTGGCTATTCCTTCTCAGTGTCCATTGTCATGTCCTCCCTTTCTTCCTCCTTTCTTTTTTATTTTCCTTTTATAGCTTGCCCTTTGTTGAATGTCTGTTTTTTCTCCACTCATTCTATACTATTTCCCTAGAGAGTCTCAGTAACTGCTTTCAATTATGTTCTCTAGCTAACATCTTTTAAATGTAAAACTCCAGCCAAAACCTTTGTTCCTAAGGCCTAGACACCTTCTTGATATATCTAGTTGGATGTTTCATGGAGACTTCAAATTCAACATATTAAAAATGGCCTTATTCCTATCATTCTTCACTTGTTCTGCCTTACTAAATGACACTACTACATCAGTTGCTGAAGTCAGAAACACCGAGGTGTATAACTTCTTCTTCCTGTCTCCTTTAATCAAATGCCCCTGGTATATTTTATTGGACAATATTTTAAAGGATGTGAAAGAAAAAGAAACCTTTATAAATGCATTAGTGTCCATGGATTATGGATAGAAGGTTACATTCTGGAGTTTCTTTCAGTTGTCATTGTGTTTTAAGCTACCTCAAAAACTTTTGGAACTAATGGAGGCATGAACACATATTGTACTGTTTTGTTACTTTGAGTATTTTATTGTAAAATTTTAGATTTTTTTTTTTTTTTTTTTTTTTT